CGTATTTTAGAGTCTTCCAGATGTTCAGTGATAGTTTGTTGTTGTTATGTGCCGTGGAGTCGGTTGCGACTCAGCGACCCTGTACAGGGTTTCCGAGGCTGTAAATCGTTGTGGGAGCAGAAATCCTCATCTTTCTCCCGCGGAGCGGCTGGTAGTTTTGAACCGCTGACCTTAACTAGGTATCAACAATGTCCTTATTTCATTGATTATTGTTGATAGGTGTCATCGATTATAAATTCAAAGGAGGCAGAATATAAGGCCTAAAGGGAATAAAAATGAAAGCTAAAAATCAGAATATAGGATTTCCTATCTCCTATGTCCATATTCAAGGAGCTCTGGTAGTGTAGTGGTACGAATTGGGCTGCTAACGTCAAGGTCAGCAGTTGGAAACTACCAGGCTTTCTGCTCCCGTAGATTTAAAGCCTTGGAAACGCTACCAGTGTCGCTCTGACCACAGCACCACCACCATCGCCATGTCTATAGTCAGGCGGGTGGATTAATGCAACCGCACTTTAACAACATGTCTATATTCAGAGAGGCCTTGGTTGAAGATTTAAAGGTGTAAGGGAGCCTCACTGAGAATGATCATGAACAGATGGAATTTAGGCTCCTGATGTGGTGTGGTTAATGCACTGGACTGCAAAGTCAGTTTGAACCACAAGGTCGGAGGTTCAAGCTCACCAGCTGCTTCTTGGAAACCCTATACAGTGTCGCTCTAAATAGGAAGTGATTCGATGGCAACAACATTCAAAGAAAAGAGAATAATCTGGAAAACAAGGTAAATGAATTTAAAGACAAAGAGCAGGCAAGGGAAGTAATAGATTCAACAGAAAGGGGTACAAAACTCAAAAGTACTCATATATATGAGGAATTGATATTCTTTATAGAAATATTCGAAAAATAGATGAACAGAGTAAATTTTCCATGATTCTTGGAAAACAGGAAAACCAGGTGATCAAGTATACTAAACCAATATACAGGTAAAGCTTTAATATATTACCGATGTTTAGACTAGATTCCAGCTACAAAGAAATCAGGGCTTCAAATCCATGCATTCTGGTTCAAACTCATCCTGAGAATCTGCATCTCCACCCCAGAAATATTGAACCTACATTTTAAAACAATACTCAGGAGATTTTTATGTACACATAAGGAAAAAATTGTATTCATAAGAATGACCCAGGGATTGAGAAGAAATCACCTGAGGAGCTTGCTAAACTTTGATTCAGTAGCTCTTATGTGGAAATACATGTTCTCAGCATGGGGTCAAACCAGTAGGTACCTATTCAAAGCCTTGAAAGAAACCCCTACATTTATAGATCAAGCTAGAGACTAAAGCAATAGCTGGGAAGAATTTTAGACTAAAGATAATTAAGATTTACATGATATGGTTATTTACATTTATCATGCAAATGAATGTGCTAACACAAACTATCTTTTCTTTCAGAAGGTGCTGGAAATGTAATGAAATTTTTTTTTTTAAATAATGCTACATTTTTCTTAGAATCACTATCTTGAGGGAATAAGCTAAATGGAACAGGAGAGAAGGAAATCAAATAAGATGAGCTTGTTTTCTAGTCAAGAGATCTTTATATACAATTTCTTTAGGGCAACGCATTTATTTGACTGAAGTTTAATGAAACACATATTGCTAAAGTGCCTTAATATTAAAGAAAATTCAAATACAGTGTTTAGTAATTGATGTTTTAAAAACAACACTGTCAATAAGTATAAGGCAACCTGTTTAATATAAATTATTTATATTCAGTGTCCATATTATCACTTAAACTGCATAACTTATATTTTATAGAAGTTAACTGTTACCACTGAAAACAATTTGCAAATGTTTATAAAAATCACAAGCTATGCCAGAAACAAGCTATGTTAGATCAATTGATGTCTTTTCTGAGTCAGTGATAGGTTTCATGATTAGAAAAGATGTACTAAATCTACAGAGGTGTTTTGCTTCTGTCTCATTGACAGTTTCATATACAAGTTGGGAACTGAATATACCATTGTCAGAGAAGTTCAGGATTACTTGGGAAAATAAGGACGTGGAAGCAATAGGAGGTAAAATTGTATTAATAATATTTATTAAATTAGATAAGTAATGTAGATTTTTATTGGTGGTTTGAAAAGTAGAATAAGAAAAAAATGCAAAGCTTGAGGGGCTAATAAGTTCAAGAATGACTGAGGTATTAGATATTCCTTTCATATATTAGCATTACTGCTGCTGCTGTGTGCTGTGGAGTCGGTTCCGACTCATAGTGTCTCTGTACAGCTGCCGAGGCTGTAATCTTTACGGGAGCAGAATGCGTCATCTTTCTCCCGCGGAACAGCTGGTAGTTTCAAACTGCTGACCTTGCAGTTCGCAGCCTGATTCGTAACCACTACGCTACCAGAGCTCCTTTGCAAATATTAAAAACTATAATATATACATATGTGCATATGTAGCATGTGTGATTTATCTGAACTCATTTTTTAAACCTCTTTGATAATGATTTATACTTTTAAAATGAAAACTTGGATGTGCTATTTTAAGAAGTCAAAATGCAAAGAAGTTTGTTAAAGGGAAACAAAATTGACCCTAAATTAGAAGGTGAAATGGAGATTAATTATAGAGGGAAAATTGAGTATCAACTTTTTGTCTTTATCTTGTGATATCACATCAAGATTAGTGATAGCCAGCTAGTACATATGTCTACTAAGGATAAATTAAGGGAAAGAAAGTTAGATTCCAGCAAGAATGATTTAGATTAGCTTTTTGTCTAACCATCACTAAAAATAGAATTCCCAAGAAAATTAAAGAATGGCCTTCTCTAGAGTTAAAGACACCCATACTACCTGTGCAAAGTGATTTAACTGAAAAGAAAAAAATCAGATGATATTGAAGATCATCTAAATACATCATTCCTAAATGACTTACTTTGTTTTGGTAAAGAAAAAAATTCTGGTTGAATTAGGTATTGAAATAATTACCATAATCATGCACCTTACATATGAAACAGTGTATAAATTAAATTTTAATCTTATATTTAAATCTTATTTAGAGATAAATCTAAAACTTAAAAAGTACACTTAATATATATCCAATTTTGTTGTTGTTAGGTGATATTGAGTTGTTACTGACTCATTGCAACCTTATGCATGTATATTAGTTACGTTATGAAAATCTTAAAAGTGCAAACACTTAAAAGCTGTGTAATAGCTTTCAAATCAAGAACATGAACAAATAATGAATACCCTGGAGGGATTATTTACCTTTAAAATTTTATTAAGCTTTTACGTAATAAAACTGTTTTATTCAATTTTGGAATTTAATGTCATACATATAAAGATGTGAACATTTTCTAGAATAGTTCAGGGATTCCTAACCCCAAATTCTTAATGTGGTGATTCTACTAAATATTTTTAATTTTATTGTAAAATTGATGTGGGATTCATAATATGTAAGAAAAATCAAAACTTTTTACAGGGGGGGGGTTGATGAAAGAAGATTTTGGCTTAAATGAATTCATTTATGGGATTTAAAAAATACCATAGTTTGATTGATAACTTGATGAATTAATAGTTTAGAAGATAAGCAAGTCCAATTTTTTTATTTACTGAAACAGATTAGATTCCTTTCTCAATGAATTTAAAAAATCATTGGAAACTTATTGTCTACTAATTTATTGTGAATGGTTATATGCTAAAACCAGTCATCTTTCACAAATAGGCAAGTTTGGTGAGAGCTATCTGTTTGGTTTCTTGAGGTTGCATTTTGAATTACATAAAATCAAAAACAGAATTAATGGTTGGCACTAGTTTACTTATTTTCAGAAATCACAGTGGTCAAGTGGACAGGAATAGAATAATCCTACAGATACAACCTCATCCCAATGTTGAAAAAAAAAGTCTGTATAGACCCTTTTTAAAATTGCTTACAATATCAAGTTAAAAGTGGAGGAAAGGAGCCACAATTTCCCTTATTTTTAAATTGCCCTGGGCTGCTGACCAGAAAACATCTTCAGTTTCAAGTGTTATTAACTTAAAACCTTCACCAGCAATGAATTAATTAGGGAAACAATTGAGAAATCATATACAACACTACACGGTGATCAGAGTACCAGTGACATATGGAAAGGCCAAACAGTGAATTCTAAGTAATGATGGTTACTGGTGGAGACATGTTCATGCAACATACATGCACAAAATGAGTAATTATCACCATATACATGCCCACAGCAGCATGCATGGCCTTATGCTAAAACCCTATGCCCAGTTTTCAATTTGATTAATGTGATCATTCTATTTGTGGTTCTTTGTATCTGCTGTGATATAGTAAAAAAAAGAAGTGAACTTCAATTTTTTTAGCCAAGTTCAAATTATTTATCCAGAGGAATTGCCCATTTAAACATTATCCTAGGGTCGCTGAAGGTCATGCCAGTGATTTCAGACCAATAGAGGACACAGTTAAAATGATTAAAATATAATATAAAAAATAGAAAATGACTATCATGCATGTACACTTTACTACTACAGTAAGCTTAAAACCATACCCCCTGCCATCCAGGAACGTGAAACTAGTTTTAAGGAAACAAAAGAGGAACAAGTGAAGAGATGCTGTCGTGTAATACTTTGCTTATTTTCTTTAATCTTGTATTTAATTTTTTTTTTCATTACTGAAATAAGCCAATGTATTCCTTTTCTATTGGAATATATTTAATTTGTTTCTTCCAAAAGGTTTAAATATGTAGGAAATGCTGATTGTCAGTCTAGGCTAACACTTTCCCTCCCTCCTGGCAAGAAAAATAATCTCATAATCATCTTGGTGATCTAACTGAGAAAGTAACAATGTCTCCAACAAAATCAAGCCATGATGTCTCCACCAGGCACCTGGACTAGCTAAGGGCAGCATGGAGATGTTGCATTGAACAGGGCATACAGCAGGCAAGTAATCATGCCAAGTAAAGGGGCACTTTGAGCATCAGATGATGAAATTAGTGTTTGTACATTACCTTTGACATTGCGACCATTGTCTGTTTTTGAGCATATAAGGATAAAAAAGAGAGAAATATAAAAAGAAGACAAAAATTACAGTCTATACACTAAATTACCTCTGTAAAAACAATCAGAATAAAGGATATAAAAACAAAATTTCTATTTGATTGGAATTAACATTTTCTATTATTCAACAAAATAAAATGCATATACTAAAAATAATATCTGTGATAATAAATATTCATGCTTAAATATGGGAAATATTTATCTCACTTAATTTAAATGGATTTCAAGATACAGACTTTATAATTGTGACAGTTTGGAGGAAGATATTCCCAGCTGTATTCATTGTGATCAAAATAATCAACCTCGTCAAAAGCCATTTTTAGCATATCTTCATAAATCACTTATGTTGACTACACACAAAGGATGACAACACAACATTTTGCATGTTAAGTACTTTTTAAAAAATATTATGTAGCCTATTTCACTAAAAAAAAAATGTTTCTAAGATGACAGGTTATCTTAGTGAGCAATTATTTGCATTATTAATCACAATTTTATTAACTTCCCCATAAATACATTTCAATGCATATTTGAAAATAGAACATAATTCAAAGAGTCTTTTCTAGGCAAAAAACAACTGCAAAAAATCAGTGAAAGAGTTTACTGTTTAAAAGTAGCATGGAGTGTTCTAATTTATGTTAATAGTGCATTCAGTGTATATTTAGGGATTCATTTATATTAAAACAGGCAATTTCTAAGTCTCATACTTGAGTGTTTTCAGATTTATTTTGAGATTAACTATCTGACTCTTTGGTGCATATTTGCTGTTAACAAAATACGCTTTGCTAGTTTTGAAACAAACAAGTTTAAAATAAATGAAGTCATGTCAAATCCATTCAAATATATCCAAGATTTAAAAAAAAATTAAAAAATCTGTTCAACATTTTGTTGGCATCTATAATAACATTGTGCATATTTAAAATCTTAGGATATATCATAGTTATTTCAAATTTTACAATGAAATCAATTACAATAGGATGGACTATTGAATTGCTGGAGTGGACATTGTCTTGGACAGGAAACACAAATAAGATTGTGCCTCACACAGCAACTCTATTCCCTCTTTGAGGAGTCATGAAAAGCAAATGAGGATAGAAGACTAACAGTGAGAGATCTTGTATTATATAGAATTTGTACCTCGATAAGAAACTAGATTTCCAAAATTTAGGAGTGAAGGAACAACTGCTTGCAAGTATTTAAAAACTCTAATTCTGCTTATGTAAGGGGGCTTCAAAAAGATGTGGAAAAATTCCATTATCTTTTCATTTCATTTTTTCCAGGGATTTTTTTGAAATCCTCTCATCTATATCTATATCTATATCTATATCTATATCTATATCTATATATCTATCTATCTATCTATCTATCTATCTATCTATCTATATAATCTATAAATTACAATAAACCTAACCAAAAGTTGTGTTATATATTTAGTGCTGCTTTGATATTAGAAGGCAGTGTACGGTGTGTGTATTGAAGCTAGCTGAGATCTGTTTGGCACTCTTCCATGACAGTGCAAGTACAGAAATCAGAGCAAGCATTTAAAATCTTTACACAAATTTGTCAGTTATTTTATGTCATTGGATTTAATTATTTTTAAAAATACAGTTTAAAAATTTTTGTATATCTCTCCTTAAAATTTCATTTTTCTAGTAATGCATTTTTATTATAATTAAAAATGTTTTGGAGTCCATGAGTGTTCAGAAAAAAATAAGGTCTTTCATCACAAATTATTTGAGAACAGTTCTTAGGTACTTAATAATGTGAATTCAATGAAAAAAAAATCATGTAAAATATTATTCACTGATATATTTACAAAATACTTAAAGTTCTGCAAAGAAACACATAGCCTATATGTAGAAATGAACATTCTCTCCTTGCATGTGGAGACAATACTTTGAATTCAAAATTTGGTGTATTTGTAACTTAATATGTTAAAAAGTTACATGGATTCAGAAAATTAAAATCTATTTTAAAAGTTTTCCATCTGTCCTTACTAATAAGTTTCTAAAATATATTGAAGTATGTAGCTTTAGGAAGTATAGTTATTCTACAATAATCTGTGATTTTGTACCTAAAACTGCTCTAGAATTGAAGTACAAAATGTCCTCTATATTTATCAGTCTTAGTCACAGGTTGACTGCAACATCTGTAACACAGTAAGACAGTGATGTATTTTCAGAAAATAACATAGCTTGGGAGGAGGAGGAAATACAGGATAATCTTAGCACCAAATATATATGTAAAGTATTTGTGCCAAGAAATCCAAAAATATTAAATCATCCTTTCCCATAGATGACACTTCATTGTATCAGTAACTGTACACTAAGTTGTTAAGTGCTGTTGAGTCAGTTCCAACCCTGTATAGGGTCTCCAAGGAACAGCTGGTGGGTTTGAACTGCTGACACTGTGGTTAGCAGTTCAGTGCTTATCTTACAGTGAGTGCCACACCAGGACTAAGTAGAGAGCATAAAAATGAAAAGAGCAAAGTTAAATCATAAAATCTTGTCTAAACTACTCAGCACTGCTGTCAAAATAGGCTTATTCTGTGCCAAGCACTGAAACTGTATTGGTTTAAGATTCTTTTTTACCCCCTGAATATAACTATATGGTAATTCAGGTTTTAGGCATTAAAGCCAATCTCTGAAAAGTCTACATGATAGTCCAATTGAGTACCACAAGAACAAGCAAATTACTAGCCTGGGAGACATCAAGGCAAGTGGCCAGTTTCCTCAGGGCAAACCCCCTTCCAAGTCTAAAGCTCAAGGGGAATACACAAGCAGACAGTCACCAATAAGGGGAAGTGAGGGAAAAACAGTAATGAAGCTGTGACCTAAGTCCTACCACGTTCAATAGACTCCTATGAACCTGGGTGGAGACCTGGTTGGCAAGCAGTGTGGCAAGACCTGGGCACTCCTGAGCCAAGAGTCAGTGACATAGGCACAGAAGACTAGAGTGGAGAGGGAAGCATCCAGCTGATAAGAAGCAAGAGGATATGCAAAAGAATACCCACACTTGCAGATAATACCCATTTGACCTGGCTTCAATGGCTGGATGATCAGAACTCAACTAGAATAAGAAAGAAGGGGAAAAAAAGAGTAATCTGATACAATTTGATGAACTTGACCTATACCTATGGATGCTGTAGCTCAAAAGAGGGAACAAATCTTTACAGCGAGGATCATCCTCACCCCCTTGGTACAGACGGGAGACAGCGATGGGCAAGTTGGACATTGGCTACCCAAAACAGGGGGCTAGAAAGGCAAGAAAGGACTGGCTTACAAGCTTTTAAGAGGGAGTCTAGATCCAGAGGAAGCGGAGGAAGGTAGAATCTCCACTGAGTAGTATCCAATCTGTCTGGGTGGGGCTGATGAAAGGAGATGGTGTAAATAAGTGAATAATTGCTATCAGGACTGATTGTGAGGGTTGAAAATGTGAAGGTAGGCATTTTGTAGCAAAAGGAGACTGGTTGACTTTGCAGTCCAGGAGTGGAGGTTCCTGGAACCATCAAGAGAGAAGAGTGTAATGAGGAACCCTACCCAGAGAAACAGTGATGCCAGAGATGGAGGCAGAGACGATGATAATGGAGAGCTGGAGAGGCTGGGGACTTTAGACCCAGAGAGGGAGAGATGCTGTGTGCTGACCACCGAGGGGCAGGTTTGTAATGTATACCCTTTGGTTGGTTGATGATGCATGGAGGGGATTGCAATCATGACAATGAAATGATTTATGATAGGATGAATGTAAAGCTAATGTTCTCCCATGTAAACTATCACAGAAGTCATAATAATACATTAAAAAAAAAAAAAGTCTACATGATTGCTAAAGATGACCACACCAATAGGACTAACTAAAGCTTATGTTGGCCATTTGAATGATCATACTGATTTTTTTTTTTTCTTTTTAATTGTTGCTGTTCAGTCAATAGGAACCACTATTCAAAGACAAAATTACAGAGATTTCATCCTTTTAGGACATATTGCCCATCCCATCACGAGGTGGCACAGAGCCTTAGAAGATACTCAGTTTGAGAACTGTTCTTGGTTTTATTTTCCTTTTGACTGTCTTAGAACAACAAATTAAAATGGATGAGTTAATTGATCTTGTACATACATGCTTTTATTGTGAATTGAGTGATAGTTTCATGGAACAACATCGGTTTTGCACTCAGCCTATTGTACTTTGTTTCATTGCATATAAACTTCTAAAACCTATTTACACAATACCATTCCTTCTGTTTCTGTGATATTGATGTATTTCTTTTTTACTTTTTTCCCTGCCAATAATTTTCTTTGCCATTTCTGCTTTCTTTACTTCACTGTGCTCTTTAAATAAAGATGCAACCTTCCCTATGACTCAATCCTAAAATCCTCACTTAAATTCCAGTCTCTTATGGTGTCCATGACTCATTAGTTTCCAATGTGTGTGGTTTAGAAACATAATTCACCAGGATGGCCTTGTATCACACAAACATTTATTGAGTACCTGCCATGAATTAGGCAATTGGGCTGAGAATACTAAGGGTGCAGCACTAACTAAGCCATTGCTCCCGTGCTGAGGGAGCTTATGGTAATGTAATTGCTTGCATTACAGGGATGGCAAATATAAATAATAAAATACAATGTAATAAATGCTACTTGGTATATAAACACTGCTTTGCACACCCAGGTGTGAAATCATTTAATTCTTCTAGTCTTGGAAGAGGGAAATGATCCCTTAGGGAGAGAAGGTAGCTTTTGAACTGGGTCTTAAGCTATGAATAGCTGTGTCAACAGGCACAATAGAGAAAAGCACATTTAGTCAGAACAAAGAAATGAGCAGAATACTGAAGCAAACAAATGATGATATATTTTTGGGAAAAGGCAATGAGTTTTGTGCAGGTTTTGAACAGTGTGTATAGTAGGGGAGAACAGGGACTAGAAATGCCTTGAAAAGTAACTGTAGCCAATGGTTAAAGCACCTAGTGTGGTATGCTAAGGAGTCTCATGATCAGATTCATTTTAAAAAGAAAACTAGGAACAGCTGGGTATGATGGCAGCAGTCTCCGGAGTGATGCCAGCCACAGAAACTGCTGGCATCTCAAGAATCCAAAACTTTGGGATTCAGAATGTTGTGACTAATGTAGGAATGCATCAGATACTATGAGACTCAGAACCCCTAGGGAAAGTTCAGTAGCTCATCAGACCCCTGCTACTGCAAGATATAAAGTAGCATGAGTAAGGAAAATCACACAGGATTCATTGCATAGCGGAATTGTGGTCTCTGAAGATGGGCAGTACTGGGTTTGAATCCAGTCTCTGACACGAACTAGTTCTATAACCTTGATCCAGTTACTCATTTAACATATCTGAGCATCAGTTTCTTCATCTTTAAAATGGGGCTTAAAAAATCGTTTCTAACTCTTAAAGCTGTTATGGGATTCCAGGTGTGGCAATGCAAGATGAAGCTCTGGATTGCAAGGTCCGTTTGAACTGCAAGGTCAGCAGTTCAAACCCACCAGATACTCCTTGGAAACCTGTACAGAGTCACTTTGAGTCAGAAGAGGCTGGCAGCACTTAAAGAGTTGTTACAAGAATTAGATGAGAGTTAATGTGTGTAGAGCACTAACATTACCTCACACATTTTATCCATTATTGTACCAACAGTGAATCAAGTTTTGACAAAGCCTTTTATACATTTCCCTTTCACTATAAGGAACCCTGATAGCTGAATTGCTTAAATGCTTGATCACTAACTGAAAGATTGGCGATTGAACCCATTGCACAACTCTGTGGGAAAAAAGACCTGATGATTTTCTCCCATAAAGTGTACAGCCTAGAAAAACATTATGGGGCAGTTCTACTGTGTCAGATGGGGTCATTATGAGTCGAAATAGACTCCATCACTTTCACTACTTTCTAATTTAAGAATGTGAACATAAAAAGTCCAGGAAGAAAAAAATGAATTTGATTTTGATTTTCAAGTAGGTTTTGGTTGAGATCAGGACGTTCAAGTTTATTTCCACCCTACCCCCAAACATTTCCCTTAATCCCTATTTAGCCCTGATCCCATCAGTTAATAGTTTCTGATCACTCATTTAGCATACCCAATCTTTGAAAAGAGCTGGTCAATAAAATAGTTTTATGAAGGCACACTATATTTTTTGTCCAGGGCAAGATTTTTGCTGGAGAGCCAAGTGTTTATTACCTAACAGCATCACATAATAAGCACTGATTAATTAGCACACTATGAGGTGGGCAGATGATTGTTATACTATTATAGAAACCCAGACACAGAAGCCAGAAGGAACCAGATAACTCACTAGGGTTCAAAGAGGAAATCAATAACAATCCTGAATGTAGGTCTCACATTTTAAGTAACCTTTCATCACATTTCTTCCCTTAAGACACAAATAAACAACAGTATGAAAATAGCCTTTCAATACTCATTAATATATGTTTCCATATAAAAACACGTACCTTCGCTGGCATGCCGGTCTCTAAATATGGTTTTGGGGTGGACATTGAATCCTTCTATGTCATGCACTGAAGATGCTCTCCGTATACTACAAATGCTTTCCCTGGATCTAGAATGGGTCAGTTGGGAACTGGACTGCAGCATGTCAGGGTAGAGTTGGTCCCATTGCCTTTTGGGAGAGGAATGGTCAAGAGGTCCAGATATATTCACCAACGGAGAACACTTGCTGGGCTGTATCAAGGCTTTTGTATCATCTGCTTCAGAGGGGCTGCAGCTTTCTTTTGTAGGAGACTTAAAATGCTTCATGGCTACGGAATCATCACTGTGTTTAGATGAATCGATTACTACCATATCAGGGTCTTCTTGTGGTAAGGACTGTTTTCTATAGGTGAGAACTCTCAGCCCAGGAAACTTCAACCCAAAAAGTTTGCCTACAAATGGAGACAGGAAAGAACATACTATAAAATAAAAGAATACATCTCTTTAAATAAACAAACAATAACAACAACAAATACCACCACTACCAACATAATAGCTGTTGTTGACTTAGGTTAAAACCATGTAAAGAAGTTATTCATCAGTACTTAAGTAGGCCAGTTGAAGCTGACATGAGAGATATTATAGGAAAAAAAAATCTGAGAGCAATATGATTTCATCTATATTGTAAGAAAATTGTAAAATTGCTTTGCCATTTTGTTGATGGTCAGGTATATCCAGTAACAATACATTATCATTTAGATGACAGCAGAATTTTTATTTTTAATTAAAAACAGATTCATTATATATTCCACCTTCTAAAGAATTTGAGGAATGAGCAGAGTTTAGAATGGAAAACAAGGGATAAGTCACTATGTAAAAAGAGAGACAAGTAATTGGTACTGTGTGTGCATGTGTGAGCTCTTGTATGGATGTAACAGTGTGGATAACGAGTTGTCTTGACAAATCATTGTCTATTGGGCACTATTGTGAGTGGATGAGGGATAAAAGTGGAGTAAACTGAGTATGAGTGGTTCCTCATTTCATTTGGAATTCTTCAAAGGCTATTTGTTTCAAAAAAAGATGCATGGCAGAGAAGAATTTCTTTTACCTGATATTCTTATTTTTAAACATGCAAATAGACACTAACTATTATTTAAGGTGTTTCAGAGTGAATAATACAAAAAAGGTACACAAAATTTAATATTAACAGATTTATATTGAAAATTAAAAGATCAGCTAATAAACACATTATTATAAATACATTATCTTTGCTGGTTGCTGGGAGTGGGGCATGGGGTGAGGGGAGGGAAGGAAAGGTGGAGCACAGGGTAGGGAATAGACACAGGATAGTTTGGATGCTGGGGATGGGGACAAGAAGAAGGAGGGGAATGGAAGAACAAAGCAGATGGGAGAACAATTGGGCAGGTTTGCATAGGCTAAGTGGGACAGAGGTAAATAATGATGTATACACAACCTTGGAAAAACAGGGCCCTGGAATACAGGGATTGAGACATGGTTGGAATGTGGAAAAGGGGGGAAATAATGTTAAGATGCTTGGCTGTCTTTTGAATCTCGGTTTCCCTTGCATACAATTATAAAATAGACACTGGAGGGGGAGAGAAAGGAATAGCCATAAATATCAACATAGAAGTCTTGTAAGTCCATCTTCTGCCTATAACTGATGGGAATACCTAAAATGGGGGTACAATGTGCCCAGTGAAGGAGGCTTCCTGAGGAGCCTCTGCATTACATAAGACTATGGTTGGAATCCTGAGCAGCATCCAGAATCTTCAAAGGTGGGGAATTTCCACTTGAAAGGATGGGCAAACCAACTTAGAGTGGCTAGAAGAACAGAAGCTACTTCTTGAAAGAAAGACCAACAGGAAAAATACAAAACAATATAGGCAGACTGACTGATTACTACAAGAACAAGCAAGTTGCTCACCCAGGAGACATCAAGGCAAGTGGTCGGGTACCCTAAGAGCAAATCCCCTTTCAAGATTAAGACTCAATGGGAATACACACTCTTATTGATGACCACATTTGTCATCGATAAGGGGAAGTGAGGGGAAAACAGCAATGAAGCTGCAAGCTAAGCCCTACAACTTTCAGTAGACTCCTGTGAACCAGGGGGAAACCTGGCTAGCCAGCAGTGTGGCAAGACCTCGGGACTCTTCGTCCCAGAGTCAGTGACATAGCTGTAGAGGACTAGAGTGGAGAGTGAAGCGTCCAGCTGATAAGAAGAGAGGGTGTGTGCAAGAACACCCACACTTGCAGATAATACCCACTTGACCTGGCTTCAATGACTGGATGATCAGAGCTCAACTAGAAGAAAGAAAAGGAAAAAAGAGTAATCTGATATAATTTGATGAACTTGACCTACACCAATGGATGCTGTAGCTGAAAAAAGGGAACAAATCTTTACAGCAAGGATCATTTCCACCCCCCTCCATACACAGAGTAGACAGGGATGGGCAACTTGGACATTGGCTACCTAAAGTGTGTGTGTGTGTGGGGGGGGGTTACAAAGGCAAGAAGTGACTGGCTTACAAGCTTTCAAGAGGGAACCTAGATCCAGAGGGTAAGGTAGAATAGCCACTGAGTAGTATACAATCTGTCTAGGTGGGGCTGATGAAAGGAAATGTGGATAGGTCTCTTGTGATACAATAGTGAATAATTGTTATCAGTACTGCTTGTGAGGGTTGGAAATGTAAAGGTAGACATTTTGTAGCAAGGAGGGGAGTGATTAACTTTTCAGTCTAGGAGCAGAGGTCCCTCCTGGGACCATCACGGGAGAAGAACAGAGAGTGGGACCCTACCCAGAGAAGCAGTGACGCCAGAGATGGAGCAGAGAAGATAAGGTGGAGAGCTGGAGCACCTGGGGACTTTAAACCCAGAGAGGTAAAGTGGCTGTGTGCTCATGACCAGGGGGCAGGCTTGTAGGGTATACGCTGTGGTTCATTGATGATGCATGGAGGGGATTGTAACCATGGCAATGAAACGATATACGATAGGATGAATGTAAAACTAATGCTCTCCCATGTAAACTATCACATAATTCACATTAAAACATTAAAAAAAAAAAAAAAAAAAGCTTGTGAGTGGCCATCTAAGATACAACTATTAGTCTGTATTTGCTGGAGCAAAGAGGATAAAGGAAACCAAAGAAAACCAAAGAAATCAAAGAAAAATTTAATCTACAGAATTTATAGTCCACATGAACCAGAACTTCATGTATCCTGAGCAAGAAGATCTAGACGATGCTTGACTAACACTATCACCCATTCTAATTAGGGATACAGTAGATAGTCCCAGAGAGAATGGGAGCAAAACATAGACCGGACTTCTCATTCCCAAAAAAGGCCAGACTTACAGGATCTGTAGAGACTAGAGTATCCCCAAGATTACTGTCTTGATACTCAAGATACACCTGGATGTCACCTTCCAATTAAATAATAGATCGACTTATAAAACAAACAATATTATCTATGAGCACAGTGCTCTTTGAAATATTGAGGCCAAACCCAAAGAAACGCTGAGAAGGTAAGGGGAGGCAGAGAAGTTAGACTAATGGTAACAGAATGTAAATACTGAGAATGCTGATTCAGTACAAAAAAATGTAATTAATGTCATTGAAAAATATACATTGCTCTTGTTGTTGTTAGGTGCCATCGAGTGGTGTAACCACTGTCCATTCTGAATCCTTTGTTGTTGTTGTTGTTAGGTGCCATCCAGTCAGTATCAACCCATAGCAACCTTATGCACAGCAGAATGAAACACTGCCTGATCCTGAACAACAACATACATATTTTTCACTGGACCAATAAACAATATTCTTATGAATGGAGAAAAAATTGAAGTTGTCAAGAACTTCATTTTTCTTGGATCAACTATCAACACTCATGGAAGCAGCAGTCAAGAGATCAAATGACGTATTGCATTAGGCAAATCTGCT